CCTGACTCTTCTCTCACTAGACCATTAACCATCCATAGGTGAGATATCACATGTATTTTATGGCCCATTGACATCTATGCTATCAGTTGATACCACATTAAATTCTTGGTCTTTTAGCAATAGAATCCACTGTCACAGACAAATCCAGCTTCTGAAAAGTTTCCACGTATATATTCTTTAAATTTTATTTTACACCTTGAGCTACAATGATCATGGGAATTAATATTGCTCAGAGAATATTTTCCATATTGCACTTTGTTTTAAATATGCTGGCAATGAACCCTCTGGGATTAAACTTCAAATTTTTATCCATGATGATGGATGACTCTACAATAGGTTTTCATTCTAATATCTTTACCCAGTTTGCTTCTCCTTTGGACTTCTGTGCATACCCACTCAAATATACATCTATCTGTAGATATAAATAACTTGAGGAACACCTATCCACAATTTGTGACAATAGTAGGACTTAAAATTATGCTACGTGACGATACAGATCAAGAGTCTTACTCCAATTAAGCCCTTCTGTGGCTTAAATGATAAATATTTTCCAGAGGCTCATATATTGGAACACCTGGTCTCAAGATGGTAATGACATTTAGGGATGCCTTAGAAACTGTAGGATTGAGAGTATTGGTGAAGAACTTGGGATAGGCTTTGAAAGTTTAAAGCCTCACCCTTTCCCAGTTCACGTTTTATGTTTTCTACATGGGGAAGACATGTAATTAGCCATGTTCCTGATCCTGTCACCTGGTGCCATCCCCCCATTATGGACTTTAACCCCCTGGAACTACAAACCCAAATGAACTCTTCCCTCTATAAGTTGCTTTTGGTCATGAAGCTTTATCACAACAGCCAAAAAGTAAGTAATAAAAAAATTTACCCAGGCAAGCAAGAGAGATAGGAAATTGCAGTAATGAGGAAAGACCTTGAAAGACATAGGAGAGGTTCTGTCTCATGATCTAATCTGCTTTTGCTGCTCACAAAAGTAAGGGGGCATTATATGGCACTGTTAAAGACCAATGGCTCTCAAATTAGAATGTGTTTTTGAAATGTGTTTCTTATTATCAGATAGGCAGCAAGTAAATCCATTATATCTAAAGGATACATTCTCAGACAGACTTCAATCAATGAAATCATAGACAGCAACAATGATGTGCTTACCAAGAGTTAATATGATGCGTAATCCAATAAGTCTAGAACCCTACTCTTGAGAAGGATACTCCTGATAAATACACCTTGCAACTTTGCTTTCTGGGACAAAATTCTTTAACTTTTATTCTTGAAACAAATCAAATTTTAGGAGAGCATAGAAGAAAAAAGAGGGGATGGGTGGGTGGGTGGGTTTGGGTGTGAGTGTGCTTGTTTATTAGCATTAAAGTAACCGTTATAAATAAACCTTGGATAAATACACATAGGCGTGCACACTTCTATAAATGCAAAATACACCTTACTGTTACTCTCCTTCGAGAAATGCCCACTTGTCATGATACTTAACATAGAGTTCTTAGAGCACCTCTCTTTCTAGTTTTCATAAATCTAAGTGGGCATCATATTTTCTCTCCTTGAAACATTTTTCCATCAAAGATACAAGTCCAGTTTTGCTTGGGTACAGATCTCTGTGAGAGAACTATCCAGGCAGATTCCAATGTGTTAAGGGGCTGAGGACCTAAAGCCGCTGAAACTTCCACTATGGAACTTGAGATCAGAGAAACAATAAATTCTCTTAGTTTTTCAAAGAAAGAACTCATTCCTGCAGTTTAATTTTAAAATCTTGTTGCATTATTTAAATGAATTCAAAGGATATTATTGTGGAAAAAAACATTAAAGATCTGAAAGCTAAAATATAATGATGCAGAAGATAAGGACTATGCAAATCAGACTTACAAAATGAGCTATTCATCATGTATATCAATACCATGTCATTATACTGTACAATGCACATAAATTCCTTGAGTTATATTCATAAAAAGAATATAATTAAAACCAAATTAATCTGTGGTGGTAAAATATTAGATTATTTCTTTACAAATATATGTTGAAAGAAAATTTTTGTTGAGACATAACAAGGCTTTGTGACAAAGCTATATATTAGAGGTGATGAAAATATGATCAAATATATTTGAATTGGAAATTTTTATATATTTTTTATTTTTACTTAAAAATTTCCACCTCCTTCCCCCCTCTTCCCTTCCCCTCCCCCATCCTCTTCCCCCTTCCTCTTCAGTTCAAAGAGCAGTCAGGGTTCCCTGCCCTGTGGGAATTTTTTAAAAAGAAAACAAACTATCTTCCTCAGAGGAACTCTGAAAATTGTTTTAAATAATGAAAAATATGATAATAATGAATACAAATCATAATTCTAGAATGTGTTCAGAAACTTCAATGATGCTTGTTGTTATTTTTTGCCCAAATTGGCTGTAGTCCAAGTGAAGTGATAATTGTAGGCTCTATTCCCTGAACTGCCAATCCTGAACACCCTCATAAACATTCTCAGCAAAATGTTTATAGACCTCTAAAGTGTTTGCTTGGATGTACAATGTGGAATTATAGGCCTCTAGAGATATTAACTGAAAATAAATGATATTCATGAAATATATATGCAAGAGAATCTAAAAACATGATTTGGCATGACATTGCTCCCCTAGATACTTGCAAAGCTCACCACTCGGATCTTGAAATTTTTAAGCTGAAACCCAGATTTTAATTCACAGCAAAGTTTCACAGATTTGGATGAATAGAAGAAGACTCCACAACAAGATGATTTCCTGGGTGTGGACATTGTATAAATACCGTAAATATGAAAGTTTTTCATATATGTGTTCCACCATTGCAGCCCTTCTTCCAACACTTGTCAGTTCCTAGGACATTGGTAAGTAATTTCAAAGCATTGCATCCTTTAGGAAAAACACTCATACCTTCTCTGAGGCTCAAGGATTATTTTAGAGTAAGTGAAAGAAAGTTTGTTAGAGCAGAAAGATGGGTTAACGTAATACAAAATTTCATACTCTAGACTCTATATAAAACTATTTAAATTGGTAACTACCAAGAATTGTAGTTACCTGCACCTGGACCACAAAAAGGCTACCAAATCTAAGCCAATGAAGGGGAAGATTTTTAGAGGACACCAAACTATACCTCTGAAATACTAGCTATTGATAGACCATGGAAAAGGAGGATTGGCTCATTTTAGTTCTGTACCCACTGTTAGCCCATAAACTTCCAGAGATTACTGCAAACCCACATATCTACTAACTGTGCAATTAATCCCAGTGGGTCATGTAACAAATGAATAGAAATGAACGTGAGAAAGAGATTGGTGGGGAGTGGAAATTTAATGGGGTTGTAGAAAGGGGGACTGAGAATAAAGATATTCATAAAATATATATGCAAGAGCATCAGAAAAGAAGCTTAAATTATAAAATATACAAATAATAATTTTCCTTCGCAAGTTAGACTTGTAGTGGGAGCGAGAATATCCAACCATTAAAATTTACTGAGGGAAAAAATGAAAAATAATGTCTAGAAATTTTAAGCCCCTGCAAGCAGACACACAAATTCTAGGTGTCTTTTTGCTCAGGTTCATTTCCTATTCCATTCAATATCACCACATTATACCAGTTTCTAAGGACAGATAATCTGATGCCTTTTGAAAAGGCTAGGATGATAGTTATCCTTAAAGGAAAGTGAGGCAGCAGTACCTCCTGTTTTGATTTAAAAAGATGGTTAGTGCAGAAAGATAAATAAGACAAAAATTCAATTGTCAAAGCTATCTTTAGGGTCCAAAGGCCCTTTTCTACAGCAGTTACAATAGTACAACCCCTAATCACCTTATCCACCAAGGAGGGGAATAGAGCCAGATGCACTTTGAAGTATGGTTTGTTTGTGAACAGTAAGAATATAGGAAGTGTAAGGGAAACTTTTCCATTTTACTGTTTTCATTCTTTAAACTCAAATGAAGTAAATAAATTGGTGCTATTGGGAGAAGATACACTATTTTATAGAAAAAAGAAAAAAAATATGTGAAGGGAAATAAACAAATCTTTGCTTTGGTCTTTTAAAAATTCTTCCTTTACTAATTTTCTTTTAATTTATCTCCTGGGATGAAACCCAGGGTATTATAGAAGTGGGCAAACTCTCTACAACTGAGCTATGGGCTTAAACCTCAGTTTTTTTGCTTCATTTCTTTTTATTATGTTTATTTGAGTGTATACTAGTGGTGTACAAACATGACCTAAGGTATATGTGAGGTCAGAAAATAATACGCAAGCAAATCAGTTCTTTCCTTCCACCAGAGGCACCATTTCCTTTTACTATATCATACCACTGACACTATATTTTTATTTTAACATATATAAATATATCAACACTTAACCCAGAAAGTGTGGAACAGATATACTGTTTCCTAAATGTGACAATGTTTAAAGAAAATGATCCAACAAAGGTCCTCATAAATTAGGGAGAAATAAATTAGGTACAAGTATCCCTAGAGAAGGTCACAGATCATTGGTTATATTTAAAATAATGAAAGATATAGTGAAGAAGGAAATAGATTTTCAAATTAGTTATACAATTCCAAATCTTAGTGAACTGTTCTTCACAATGTTCTTTGCCGGGTAAGTTTTCAAAGTATATCTTAAACAAGAATGTTTGTAGATAATACAAGTAGTTATCATGTCTATGATAGTTTAGTTTAGAACAGACTATACAGTTAGAAATTCAAGGCAAATGGAATTAAGTCCCACAATTATAATAAAGAATACCTGTTGCAGTGACTGCCTTCAAAGAAGTTTGAAGTACCATTTGCACCTCTTCCATATGAGCAAAATGCCTGACTTTACCCAGTTAAAGGATATCATTTTGAATGTAGATTCTGCTCTGTATATAAATTAAAAATATAAACACAAGAACTTTTTTTGTATTTTTTATCTGACAATAATAAGCTAATATAAATTTTATTTGTACATCTCCTAGATTTATTTCAGATCAATTCACAGATTACTTTCATGGAGAATATTTCAGAGGTGACTGAATTTATTCTTGTGGGGTTAACAGATACCCCAGAACTCCAGGTTCCTTTATTTATCATCTTCACTCTCATTTATTTGATCACACTGACTGGGAACCTTGGCATGATCATATTGATTCTACTGGACTCCCGACTCCACACACCCATGTACTTCTTCCTCAGTAACCTCTCCCTGGTGGACTTCATTTATGCCTCAGCAGTCACTCCCAAAGTAATGGAAGGGTTTCTCACACAAAACAAGGTCATATCCTACAATGCATGTGCTACTCAGATTTTCTTCTTGATAGCCTTTGCCACTGTTGAAAGTTTCCTCCTTGCTGCAATGGCTTTTGACCGTCATGCAGCAGTGTGTAAGCCTCTACATTACTCAACCTCCATGACAAGGACCACATGTGTCCTAATTGTTACCTGTTGCTACATCAATGGATTGCTCCAATCCTCCATTCATGTTGCTTTCACTTTCCACCTCTCCTTCTGCCATTCCAATGTGATTAATCACTTTTTCTGTGATATTCCTCTAATACTTGCTCTGTCATGTTCTGATACCCACATAAATGTGATTATAATCTTTATGTTGGCTTCATTTGATGTTGTTTTTGCTCTCTTGGTTATCTTGAACTCTTACCTACTTATTTTCATTGCCATCTTGAGGATGCATTCAACAGAGGGCCGAAAGAAGGCCTTCTCAACCTGTAAATCTCATCTCACCACTGTTTCTCTCTTCTATGGGACGATCATCTTTATGTACTTACAACCCAACTCCAGTCACTCTATGGACAGAGACAAAATGGCATCGGTGTTTTATACCATGATCATCCCCATGTTGAACCCTCTGGTCTATAGCCTGAGAAACAAAGAGGTCAAGAAGGCATTCAAAAAGTTTGCTGGAAAAGTACTGTCTTTACTTGGCTTAATCAATTAACACATTTTTTTCAAGACTTGAAATCTTTCATTGTGCCTGTACTGTCTAAGAATATTTGACTTGTAATTATTTCTTATATGTGATTTACAATTGAATAGTTTTCCACAGATTATATCTACAACACTTCTTTCTATTCATTGGTTGAAGTGATTGTAGATAGCACCCATTTCCAAACTATTGTGAAAAGAACATCAATAAACACAGCTGCAAAAGTAACAGTTGAACATGATGTTGCTTCCTTTGGTCATATATCAAGGAATAGTAAAGTGTCATTGTAAGTATAGTAGAGCTTAATTATATCACTTTTTATCATTTTTAGAATTCTTCACACAGATATCCATAGTAGCTACATAAGTTAGTAAAAAAAATCACCGACAATAAATTATATTTTCCTTTTTCTTGCACCCCAATTAGAATTTGTTTTCCTAACTCTTTGGTACAAGATAGGATATTGTAAAGTACACCAATAACACACAGAAAATTGCAAGTAGATCTATTATTAGACTTAATCTTATAATAGATATATTGGCTAAGATCAGTAAAACAAATGACAACAAATGTTGGTAAGCATGTAAAGAAAAGACAGGAGCACTTATTCATTGCTGCTTGGCTAGACACTTGTACAGTTTTTTTAGAAATCAGTGTGGTGTTACCTTATGAAGCTGGGGAAAGGTCTACCTCAAGTCTCAATTGTACCATGTTTGGATATTTACCCAAATGATTTCTATGTTCTACTTTAGAGACACCTGTGTATCCATGTTCACTACTCCTCTGGCTATAGCATAGATGTACATAAACTAGTGAATAGGTAAAAAAAATGGGGCTCATTTATGTAAAAGTATATAATTCATCTGTTGTGAGAAATAATTTTATGAAATTTCATGTAAATCATCAAAAGTAGGCTAACACAGAACTGAAAATAATTCTGATATCATTCTGATATCATATATATGTATATACGTGTGTGTGTGTGTGTTAACCTTAGCTTTTAAAAATTCCTCATGAAAACTGTAAACATCATAAACTACTGGTTATTTCAATCTTTTCTGTTGACAACATTTACATAAGTTGATATCTACATCTGGTCCATTCCCCTCCATGATCAGAATGTACCATGGAAGAGGGTAAAAAGATTGTATTAGTGAGAGGACATAGAGAATGTGATCTGCTCAATCAACAAATCAGGACTCAGACTCAAAGAGACTGAACTGATGAGCACAGGACCTGCAGGAGTCTGCACAAGTTTGCTAAGTATATGTTATGCCTCTTTCTGATTATTTTTATTAGACAGTGAGAACATGATTCCAGTGGAATCACCAACCAGCACAGGATATTGTTAGGAATTAGGTTGCTCTACACAAACGGATGACATGTTCCATTGCTAAAGACAACATTTACACAATTTACTGAACATTGAAAAGTGGACCTGACATTAACATTGCGAATCCTCTGTGTTTTCTAGGTATTATTGGGATTTTAAGTTCCATCTTTGTCTTAGTTCCAGTCTTCTTTAATGTTTCTATCATCAGATTGAAGCCTATTCTATAAAGTCTTGAATTGTCTTCTTTAACTTTGATCAGTCTTCTGGTTTTGCTTTTATTACTCATGTGATTGTTATCCTTAAGGTCTATCTTCTTAACTTCATTTACCCATTTCTTTGTATCTTCCTTAAACTCACTGAATTCTTTAATGAAATTTAGGATTTTATTTGTAAGTTCTGTGTCATATGGCTCATATTCAAAATTCCCAATCTTAAGTATCTCTACAGATCTGAAAAGTTTTATTGAAAATATACTGACTTGAAAGTTCAACATTCTTAGTATATTTGGAATGATAAATGGCAATGTGAATTTCTTTATTTAGTCACAAGTCTGATATGGTCAGAACATATTTGGACATAATGCAGGATTTGTGAACAGGTTGAGACTAAGAGATGGAAATATCTTGGATGGAATGAATTCATGTGGACAGAGGGGATTGATATGGTGTTCATTATTTTCCCTACTGTCCAAGCCCAGAGTATGTAGGTAGATATGGTTTTATAGATGTGGGACATGGTGTAGGAGGTTCCTATGGGTTAGGAGATATCTAAAGAGTGTCCTAGTGAAAAACTAGATTTTTTTTTTTGGTGAAACTAAGGGGGCAAGTCTAGGATAGATACTATGTGGTTGGAGCTTGGACTTGTTTCAAGTTTTCCTTTTTTATGAGAATGTGTGAATAGTTACTTCAATTGGCTAGTCTCTATATAAGCAAATGAGAAATGAGAAGGTTGACATGAAGAGTGATTGGATGAAGTACAGAATTTACCTATGAGTGGTTCCATATAGGATCGGTTCTGGTCCATCTAGAAGCCTAGAGTTTAGCTGCAGTGCAGCTATTATTGGTCAGAAAAAAATAGGGACATTGGTTGTGGAAGCCATGCTAGATCTGGAGAGTTACAGAGATTATCTCAACAGGGATGTGAGAGAGAATTTCATGGACAGGCCCTGGAGGAAAATGTGGGATGCCTCAATTTTTCAAATGAAGAAGAAAAACATATACCTATATGATATACTTTGTGTTAAGAAAAACAAATTTTGTTGCTGATTTCAGTGGGATATCTGGGAGTTTCTGAAAGACACTTAAGAAAATGTTCAACATCCTTAGTCATCAGAGAAATGCAAATCAAAACAACTCTGAGATTCCATCTTACACCTGTAAAAATGGACAAGATCAAAAACACTGATGACAACTTATGCTGGAGAGGTTGAGAGGTAAAGGGAACACTCCTGCATTGCTGGTGGCAATGCATGCTGGTACAGCCCCTTTGAATGACAGTGTGATGATGTCTCAGAAAATTAGGAAATAACCTTCCTCAAGACTCAGTAATACTACTTTTGGGTGTATAGCCAAAGGATGTTCAATTGTGCCACAAAGTCCTGTGCTCGACTATGTTCATAGCAGCCTTTTTTGTCATAATCAGAATCTGGAAACAACCTAAATGCCCTTTGACCAAAGAATGGATAAGGAAAATGTGGTACATTTATACAATTGAGTACAACATAGCAGAAAAAATAACATCTTGAATTTAGCAGGCAAATGGATAGAGCTAGAAAACATCATTTTGAGTGAGGTAACCCAGATACAGAAAGACAATTATCATATTAACTAACTCATAAGTAGTTTTTAAACATAAAGCAAAGAAAAACAGCCCACAAATCACAATCCCAGAGAACCTAGACAACAATGAGGACCCTAAGAGAGATATACATAGATTTAATCTACATGGGAATTAGAAAAACACAAGATCTCCTGAGTAAATTGGGAGCATGGGGACATTGGCAGAGGGTTGAAGGTGAGGGGCTAGGTAGGGAGGGGATTAGAAAAAAGTGTAGAGCTCAATAAAAAAGAACAAAGAAGAAAATATATTTATCATCATAGCAAAAAGGAAAAACAAGTTTCTTGTTTTCAAGGCTAAAATGAAAGAATAAAATGTCCCAGGGCCGTCTTTTAACTTTTGAGAAAATATGTGATCAGAACACTTGTTAAACATGCTTAAGTAAAAAAAATTAATAAAACATTCAAGCTTTTGGTTTGTTTACTTTTCTTCAACCTGCTTATGGAAGACCAGTGACTGATAACTAGAGGCTGTTCTCTTTTAGCTCTTCTTCTATTCCCCAATGTCTTTGGAAATGATATTCCACTAAATCCAAACAATATCCTTTATTGTCACTAGCAAGATAAGGCTAAAAGCCAATGTGGGTTGATAAGTCTCAAGAGACATTGCTCACGTGTACTGCTGCCCCTGAGATACATGTATAGTTTGATCTCTGCTGTGATGTTGGCAATATTACAAGACCAGATTCCATTCCACAGCAGATATCTACCAGTGGAAAATTAGAACAGAAGGATTCTTTTATTGATATAGATGGTAGGCTAATGATGTGGACATGAAATATTTCAGACCTCTCCTTTTTACTTCTCTTGGTCTGTCCCTTGCAAGACAGTAAGTATTAAAACTACTTGTGTATAGCTAGTCTGAACTATATATAGGGCTAAAATATCTGGTTATTTTTGTTTAATAAGTGTAAACAAAAATTGGAGCTAATGTCTGGAAAAGTGAAGCAAGTAGGTCACAGAACTATCATTATCGATAATATTCCTATGTTTGACCTACTGTGCTTTACACTATGAGGCTGCACAAGGGCAGCAAGCTTTTCTGTCTAAAAATCTTTAGATTTTGTCGTGATTATTTCACTCCAGCGGGAGATCATGCTCTAATTTTCTAATATTGATAACGTTCGACAGGATTAGAAGTTCACCAATTATAGCTCATTTTTAATTTCAGAAGGTTGTAATTCTTTCAACCTCAATTTAAAATTATCAATTACTGGGTCCCTTTCCCTGAGAGTATTAAACTCTAGACATTAATATCATGAGCTAAACATTCTGAAGAAACCAAGAAAATATGAGCAAGGCCATAGAAGGTAGCAGACATGATTTGCATAATTTAAAAATGTTAATATCTTTTATAACTTGGGAGAACTTACACATTACTTATAATGTACTTGAAGAAACTTCTGTGAATTAGGAATATTTTCACCTCAGTCATTTTAAAAGTATATAATTACAACATCTAGTGTCTTTGAATATAAAATGGTATCAATTCAGAGGGAGGAAAATGCACACTATTCCAAAGTTAGATGTTGCTCTCAATGTAAGAGGCAGGCTCATACGTAAACATAGCTGCATAATCAAGTGCCATCTAATCCAATATGACAATGTTACAATGTGGTACACCATGAAATACTTCATGTTTGAGGTTACAGATTATGTAGAGAGAACAAAGGTAACTCTTCCTTGGCTTTTACCCTATCTCTCTCAAAAACAAATGCAACAAACTTCTCTGATGGTAATAGAAAATATCCTCTGAAAAATATTAGTCCCATTACATGTAAATAAAGAAGTTAAAATTGTTTCTACTTTTTGAAAGAACTGTGTTTTTAGGTTTCCATGTACCT